AGTTTAGAGAAATCAAGACAGCTGCTGCAAGTGATGGTATAGAGACAGAATTGAGTTTTCATTGAAAACCCCACCACATGCCTCCTAATTCTGCAGCTCTAAGGGTCACCATTCTTTCAATATTCAAATAAATGGCTATAGCCTTCGTGTGGTTAAACCCACACATGCCTCCTAAGTCTTTTCTGCCCCTGCCAGCCCTTGGTGCCCAGCACACCTGAGGTGCTGATTCTTCTGATGCTTCCTGGACCCTCTTTCTGCTTTCTCTGGATTCTTGCCTTCACTTCCAGCCACTGGTCTTTCCCCTTAACCCCACTCTAAGCCATAAGTAGACCATAGCCCTTTGCCCTTTGCAGTCCCAAACCCAATCTTATAAACCCTTTGCAGATCGTTACTAATGATTTGAAAAGGGCTACACTGCAAGGGACTATTAGGTGGGCCCATTCTTTAAACTTCTGTTGTTTAATCCCTCGAGGAAATTTCTCATAAAGTCACTTTCCTAAAATCAGCCTACATTGCTCCCTAGGCTTCTCTCTCCATCCCCATCCACACAATTTGACAACTTATCCTGACCTTTTCTTCCATTTCTCCTGTTTCTGAGCTCTTTTAACTTTTCTTTACTGATATCATTCTCATTCTCTTTTTCTCCTCCCTCTTTCTTTCCCTCTCTCTCAAAAAGTCTCCCTCTGTATTATGTAAAGCCCCTCTGCCTTTTCTCCCTCTCCCTTCTTTCTTCCCTGAGTCTACCCACTCACCATGAACATGCCCTGTGAGCCTCTGCCTTAGCATCCACCTGAACATCCAAACATTAATTGTAATAAATACAGCGTTCTTCCTAGAAGGAAGAACTGTAAATCTAGCAATCCTTCTGCCTCTGCCTCCTCAGTCCCTGGGATTATAGGTGTGTGCCACCGCACCCAGTTTTAGAGGCTGAAAGTTCAAAATTGGGGAGGCATTAGTTTTGTCACTGGTGAGGATCAAAATGCAATGGCAGGTGGGAGGAAGAGATCACATCTCTAAATAGGAATCTAAAGAGTCAGGGGTCAGGTTCAAGTTTTTTTTAACTACTCACTCCCACCAGAACTCACTCCAGGAAGCCTCCTTCCTTTCCAAGGGCAGCACCCATGACCTCTAACCTCTACTGCTAGAGCCCACTTCTTCCATGTTCCCACCACCTCCATATCACCACACTGGAACAAGAACTGCAACGCAGGAACCTTTGGGGGACAAACCACATCCACACATAGCAACCTCTGATGATGAAGAATAAATTAAGGCAAAGGTAGAGCTAGCTGAGAACCGAGATGCAAACAGAGCTTTACAAGACAGGTGGAAGAGAAGAAAATTACAAAAGCAGAATAACTGTCCCAAATCTGGGCTGTGGAGGATAAATATGAGAGTGTAGACGAAAAGGTCCAGAGGATAGATATGAAAAAGGAAAGGAACATATAAATAATTAATCCTAAACAACTGGACCAAAAATAAATAAAAAAAATAGAAAACTTTTTATGTTTTGGTACTGTGGATTGAACCCAGAGGCACTGAGCCACTGAGTCACATTTCCAGCCCTATTTTGTATTTTACTTAGAGACAGGGTCTCGCTGAGTTGCTTAGCACCTCGTAGTTGCTGAGACTAGCTTTGAACTCACAGTTCTCCTGTCTCAGCCTTCCAGGTGGCTGGGATTACACATGTGTGCCATTGCACCAGCCAGAAAACCTTTTTTTTTTTTTTTTTTTTTTTTTTTTTGAGTGGAAGAACTCAACAAGTACCAGAAAAATTTACAGGGAAGGAAGGTAGAAAGGAAGGTGCCTATCTTTTTTTTATTTTTTATTTTTCTGGAATGTCAAACAATAGTTGGTGTTGAGGGAAGCCAAATTTCTGTTGGCCTGAGTTTTACTGTGTGTTAGAGGGAAGACTGGGGTTCAGAGAAGAGGTGGGGATAATTGTTAGGTAAAGGCTAGAGCCTAATATTACCACCACATGGGGCACCATATGTGGTCCAGGGCCCAAAGGCAGCATCTTGGACCATTGATGGGCTGGAAACCCTGTAGCACATTCTCCATGGACATGTCCTCTGGGAGTTTGTGGCAGAGCAGTCTTTTAATCCAGAACACCTTCTTCATGGCCTATCCTAGAGCCTGTCCTTAGCATGGCCTGTGATATGCACTCTTGCTCTTAAGGTGTTCCCAATCTAAGGCAGGAGACAGAAATAATTTAATATAATCCAGGTTGCTGTCATACGATGCAAGAGAGAGGAGAGAGAGAGATCAGTGCTAACCCAAGAAGGGAAGTCTGGAAGGTTTTGTAGAGCTGGGGATATTAGAGCTAGATCTTCCAAGATGAGTCAGGTTTCCCCAGGCTGTGGAGGAAGATGGAAGACACTGGGGTATGGGGCGGGGCAAGGGGCAGCATGATGAGAAGCACAAGTAAAAGAATGCAGAAGTTTCTGGAAATAGCAAATGGTGCAGATGGGCCCAAGAACTGGTATGTGTACAATGATGTGGAGCTTGAAAACCTGGCTCTTGAAAGGGAACTGCTAAACACTGAGTATCATTAGACTAAGGTCCGCCATTACCTAATACTATGCATTGACCTTAGTCTGACAATACAGCTGTGGGAGGTGGGGACCAAGTACCCTGGAGTAGTGTTCCTATTCATTCAGTCATTAACTCAACAAACAATGACCATTTTCCTTGTGCCAAATGATTACAGGTGAGAACACAGATATGCATAAAGCAGGGTTTTACCTTCAAGGAACTTTCTGTCAACAGTAAAGGCAAATAAGTCCATCAATGAGTGCCTTACCATGGGTCAGGCCCTCTGAAAATAGCCTGTGCACAGAGGGAACACAAAAGGGCTGGGAGCCACACAGCAGAATATAACAGAGCAGGACCCGGAAGTGACTAAGGGTGGTCTTCTAGGGGAAGGTGGCGCTTGAGATAGCTGCTGAAAGATGAGTTGACATCAAAGGTATTTGGGGAGAAAGAGCCAAAAAAGGCGGAACATAAACAGCAAGTCTATTTGGACAATTGCAAGGTTTTGGGTTTTTTTTTTTTTTTTAACAAAACATGAAGGGGAGGGGGTTCTTTTAAATTTGTGAAGCATTCATAGTTGGTCAAGCTGTATGTATAATTACCTGGCTGCCTGCCAAAGCAACCTGTGTGTGCCTGCTTTTCAGCCTGCTGCGGGATTTAGTCAGGCGGCAAGTTTTTATTGTGTGCCCATTATGTCCATACACCATGGTAGGCATATGGGGGAAAAAGGGAAGGAGAAAGCAAGCAGAAAATCAAATATTGTGCAAAATGGAGCGTTTTTGTGTTGAGTGCTGGTTCCAGTTGGAGTTTCATCTGACTCACCGAGAGCAGGGACAATGCAGCCATTGTGGAAGCCAGAGCTGCAATCTCATGGCCGGTGCTGCCCCCTGCGCCTTGTGCTGTGGGTCTCACCGCTGAATTGCCTAATGCCTCTTATGAGCACATCTTCATACTACCTTAGTGAAGCGAGGTCACTGCCTTCGGAGGCACGCTGGAGACTTTCCTATTGCAGTGAGTGGTCTTTGAGCCAAGTGGCCAGAAGACACAGAATGAGCAGAACCAAACAGTCCATGGGCACCAGACAGTTCTACCTTGGTGATGTCCATGAATAGCTGAGAATTCCCTATGGCACTTTTGGGGAGAACAGGGATGTAAATGAAGCAAGGCCACAAGTGAAATAGCGTTGAGGGCAGAGTGCTTAACTTCGGAGCTGGGGATTTTCTGAAAAGCAGTAATTTCAAATTCTCATTTTACCTAGTCCTGGCTATTGCTTCTCAGTGCACTCAGCTGCCCCAAACTCTAGCAGCTATGTTTAGGCAACACAAACCCCACCTTCTTGCCATCCCTTCAGACCACATCCTATTTCTTCTGCTCACTGCCAGATCTCTTGGAATAGTTACTGTATTTCCTGGCATCCATAGAATGACATCTTGCTACTGTCATCATCATTAACCAAAAAGTAGACACTCTTCATGATTTTTATATGGGAAAGTAGCAACAGCCTGTGACACCTCAAGACTCTATCTGTAGCCCCGATGGTGTCCTGAGGTGTCAGAGGTTGCAGTCTTGGAATTAGGTAGCCTTATACATTGAATTAGAAATGCTGAAAGGATAGCTTGAGGGTTGTGGTGAAATATCAGCAGTGGTAAGTCCCAGTAGTAAGGTGAGTGAGAATGCTAGTTTGAGGCAGCACCCTTTAAAGCATGGAATAGGGAAGATAAATAAAATTCAGACTACTAAAGCTTTAGCTTAATTCCATGGCATACAACAGCAAGTTGGTAAGCTCTCCACATGGGACTAAGATCATAGAATGTCCTAGTGCAACTTTTCAATCTTGTAGGTCTTGAGATAGGTAAAATAGAAAGACAGGTAATAAGAAATTAATCTGTTATATAACATTGAAGGTAAAATGTTTCATACCAATTTATGTGGAAATAGCTTTATTATGTCTCTGAAGTGGCTCAGTGTTAAGTTTCAGGGACTCTGACAAACTGGGATGGCTTCCAGACCCTTTGCACACATCCCCGTTTGTCAGTGTCCTACAAGCCCTGGCTGAAGAACTAGGCAAATGACCTAAGTCCAGAAAGCAGCGGCAGAAGCCAGATCTCTCTTCTCTCAGGAGGTAATTTCCCCAGACTATAGGAAGCAGGCTTTGTGACCCCCATTCTTTTAACTTACTTCCCCTACCCCTGTCCAAGATATGATAATAGAGCATCAAAGGAAGGAATCCTTGAAACTTAAGGAGGGTTTGTTTTTTTTTTTTTTCATTGAAAGAAATGCTCTTTCTCATCTAATAAAAGGGAAAGCAAGGAAGGGGAAGGAGAAGGAGATGGACAAGGTGGCAAGGACAATCTTGTACTACACAGTCATTCTGGAATTCATTTCCCTGTATCCTTAATTCAGAGGCCCTGGCTGCCCTTGTTCACTCCAAATGGCCTTCCAATGCCTCACTTAATGTGTCTTCCAAGGGTTTCAAGCTCCAAAATTTCTTCAATCAGAGTATCAGAGACCAATTACCAATTGCCAAAGACACACAGGATTCACATACCAATCATGGATAAAAGGAGTAGTAAGTAAAGGTAAGAATAATAAAATATTCTTTTCCAAATGTGAAGATCCTACCTACTCATTCTGTGGTCGAGGAACTGTTGATAAGGGTTTTAAGACTATATGGGAAAAAGAATATGTGGAAACTGAAGGCCTGAATGATACTGAATGGCCTAAAAGTACTTTATATAAGAGACCACTTCAAAGTCATTTTGCATATAAAACCAGTACGTGATAAATAATAGATAATGGAAATATCATCGGGTAGTTCAGTTTCTTGGGAGAAAGGGGTACATTTGTTTATTACCACTATCTATATACATGGCTCAGCCTGTTATAAAATGGTGATGAATATTTATTTTCTGATTAGCTAAAGAAATTACTGATTTAATTTTAATTTAATGGTCTAATGCTCACAAATCAGTTTTATTTAATAAGAATTATTGCATTCTTATTTACCCCTCCATCTAAATACTCAGTGTTTTTTTTTTGTTGTTGTTGTTGTTGTTGTTTCTATTTATGGAATTTTGGAATCTCCCAATTACCATATTCCACCAGGACCCTGTAGATGGAAAATACCTTGGAAAATCTGTGATGAGAAGAGATTTAGATCACCTTCATTTGACCTGCTTATTTCAGGAGAGCAGAATAACATTTCCAAAGAACACTCTCCTCTTCTCCAAGGCAGGGTTAAATGGGCCTGCTGACTGTCTGCCCTAAGCAGTTGTTTCTGGCTCATGTTCTGCTTCTTTCCCTCCTCCTTTGCTGGATCCTCTTCCTTTAATGTCAGAATTCCCCCAAACCCAGTCCTAATCCTGCTTATTCTTTCCCCTATTCTAAGTGATCTCACCCATTTTTCTATTTCTGACTCCCAAATATATATCTCTAGCTTTGATCTGCCTTTTCAACTCCAAATCTGTACATCCAACATCCACTACTGGACATTTGTACCCAAATATCTTCCAGGTAAAACAAGCAAAGCATTTTAGTTAAGTCCTAAGTGTAACTTTTGATGTTTGTTCCTCTTTTTATCACACACACCCAGTTCGTCCCTGTGGTGTTGTATCGTCCCATGTGGTATACAGTACTGCATACAGCAAGTCAAATACTGTGCTCAAAGCACAGAGCCGTCTTAGGTCCCAGAACATTCACCCACCTTCAATTCATGAGCAAGAATAGTCATTTTTAGCTCCCAAATAATTCTTATATCTGTCCCCTTGTCTCCAGTTCCACTCTGAACACCCAGGTCTAAGTGTTCCTCTTTTGAAAACCAAGGCAACATACTTCTCTCTGCCCCTAATCTTGCCCCTTGAAGAGCTAGTCTCCAAGCAGCAGCGCGTAGGAAAACAAGAAATCCATAGTGTGAAATGTTGTGAAACCATTCAGTGGGTGTTGAGCCTATTATACTTGGAATATAATACAATGAAAAGGTATCACTGTGCCCTTCAAGGTCTACATGAAGTGTCCCCTCCCTGCCTATGCAAGTTCACTCTCCATATCGCAGCTACCTCTCCAGCCCCACCTTGAGCCCCACACACGATTTGCAGGCCATTGACAGTTACTCAGACATGGCCAGAGCTTTCCTGTCCTGCACCCTGGAAACTGCCCTATCCTGTGCTAATATGCTTTTCCCTTTGCCACTTTAAAAATTTTGGTTTCTATTTTGACATATAATAAGCACCTGTGCACCTACTAACAGAAATTAATAACTGCTCGCTGTTTGACTTTTTCCCTAGAATGTTAACATTAAAAAAGAAAGTTCTCCTTGATTCATTCCCTTTCCTTCTTACTCAAAGTGAATAGTGAATATTGCTGGTTCCCTACCCTGCACCCATCCCCCCGCCATTCTTTCCTTCTAACACAACCTTGACTTTGTGAAGGCTTTTACACACCTCCCATCCCACTTCCACTTCCTGCCCCAACATCCTCACGTTCCTCAGCGAAGCCAGTTACAGCCCCATGTGGCTGGGGAGACAGGAGGGCGAGTGTTTTGGAGGCTAGTTTCATTTGGTTCCCGTGTACTGCAGGGAGCTTGTGGCCCTTCTAAAGGCTCCTACCCACTGCATCTTGCTCTCAGAAGTTTGTCTTTAGAGAACTGGAGTGGGACCAGAAGCGCCAGGCTAGCTGAATTTCTAATCCAATGCCAAGGCACAAGCTAAGCAGTATCCTTGTTTGTTCAGTCTTTATCATCAGTCACATGGCTGTCTGCTCTTAACTAAAAACAACATCAATATCACAGATAGAGGAAAACTGGACTTCCTGAATATCTCCATGTCTTTCCTCCTCAACAAGAAAGAAAAAAAAATTCCTTCTATAATCTTTTTTTTTTGGGGGGGGGGTTGTGCATGATTTTCTGTAGTTGTGTTTAAACTCATTGTTTACAAGGTTAAGCCTCCATTCTAAACACACAATGTTTAAAATTACAACTTGGAACAAATGTCCGTTTTTTCCTCTCCTGTAGGTTGCAGCCTGTTCACTTTCCTGACATCGGTCACTGCAGCTCTCAGTGGCCTCCTGGTGGGTTATGAACTTGGACTCATCTCTGGGGCTCTTCTCCAGATCAAAACCCTACTAGCCCTGACCTGCCATGAGCAGGAAATGGTTGTGAGCTCCCTCCTCATTGGGGCTTTCCTCGCCTCTCTCACAGGAGGGGTCCTGATAGACAGATATGGAAGAAGGACTGCAATCATCTTGTCATCCTGTCTACTTGGACTTGGAAGCTTGGTCTTGATACTCAGTTTTTCCTACACAGTTCTTATATTGGGACGCATTGCTATAGGGGTTTCCATTTCCCTGTCTTCCATTGCCACTTGTGTGTACATTGCAGAGATTGCTCCCCAACACAGAAGAGGCCTTCTTGTGTCACTGAATGAACTGATGATTGTCACTGGCATTCTTTTTGCCTATATTTCAAATTATGCATTCGCCAGTGTTTCCCATGGATGGAAGTATATGTTTGGTCTTGTTATTCCCTTGGGAGTTTTGCAAGCAATTGCGATGTACTGTCTTCCTCCAAGCCCTCGGTTCCTGGTGATGAAAGGACAAGAAGAAGTTGCTAGCAAAGTTCTTGGAAGGTTAAGAGCCATCTCAGACACAACTGAGGAACTCACTGTGATTAAATCTTCCTTGAAAGATGAATATCAGTATAGTTTTTGGGATCTGTTTCGTTCCAAGGACAACATGAGGACCCGAATCATGATAGGTCTAACACTGGTATTTTTTGTACAAGTCACTGGCCAGCCAAACATATTATTCTATGCATCAACTGTTTTGAAGTCTGTTGGCTTTCAAAGTAATGAGGCAGCCAGCCTCGCTTCCACTGGGGTTGGGGTGGTCAAGGTCATCAGCACCATCCCAGCCACCCTTCTTGTAGATCATGTTGGCAGCAAAACCTTCCTCTGCATTGGCTCCTCTGTAATGGCAGCTTCATTGTTGACCATGGGCATTGTGAATCTTAACATTCACATGAACTTCACCAACATCTGCAGAAACCACAGTCCTATCAACCAGTCCTTGGATGAGTCTGTGTATTATGGAGCAAGAAATCTGTCAGCTAGCAACAGTACTCTCAGAGATCACTTTAAAGGGGTCACTTCCCTCAGTAGGGGCTCGCTCATGCCCATGCAAAGTGACATGGATAAGAGAGGGGAGGTCACCTCCACACCCTTACCAAATGCTGGACTAAGCCAAACTGAACACCAGATAGTCACCGACCCTGCTGATGTCCCAGCATTTTTGAAATGGCTGTCCTTAGCCAGCTTGCTTGCTTATATTGCTGCTTTTTCCATTGGTCTAGGACCAAGTAAGTATTTTATTCTTTATCCCATTTCTCTCTTGCCTTATGAATGTCTGTGTACTGTTTTTAACTAGTCAGAGCATCATACTGCTATAATATGTTGCTACATATAAGTACTAGAAGCAAGACAAGGGTAATAATGACCGTCTGATGTTTCTGCTAATGTGGTCAGTTTGTACCTGCTTTTGAAAAGCCCAGGACTTTTGAAAAGGATAAGTAAATATGAGGATACTTTAATACAACTGTTTGGGTATGAATCAACCTGTAAAGAGATTTATTCCCCAAGGACATTGTATTGTTTTATGAAAGCAATGTTTTCTGGGATTATATTTTCCTGCATACCATTCCTAAGTTTCCTTGTGGGTGGAAGCAAAATAAATCAAGTGCTTATATTTTCTTAAAGACATGACGATAAATATATTCAGGTAATAATGACGAAGAGAGAAATTATGAATATAGAAGAGGATGCATTCTTTCTCTGAGTAAATTGTATTTGCTACAATAATCTTTTCAGGGCACTTCACTCTTGTCTATTAAATAGAATAATGGAAGTTTAGTTAGGTCCATTCAACACAATATGAGCAGCTAACAGGGAACATTTTCTGTTTTTTATTTTTTAGATCCAGTCTGTTCCCATAAGAAAATCCAAACACTTCTTGAGTAAACTCTTTTAGAGATGGATCTGCTAGAATAGGTTGTTTGTGCAGTTCTGCAGACTTTTAGCCTCAATCCAAAGTTGGAACCTTCTTGTAGTGCGGTTGAGAAAGTTCTTTTTAATGCCTCATTAGGGAAAAAAAAGTGCTAAATATTGAAGGCAGTTTTTCCATACCACCCCTACCTTCATCTCTTCTTTCTCTCTTTCCCGCTTCTCATTCCTCTCCCTCCTTTTCCCCCCTTTTCTTGGTCTCTTCCTGTTACCGAGTTAGTTTTGAAACTTATTGACAAGAACCAAGGAGGCAAACAAATTGGCTAAAATAAAAAGAAACGTTGGAAGTTTCAGACAAATAAGAAGAGATAGGGGCTGTGTTGAAGAAGGAATTTCATGGCAAATGTAGGTCTGCTGGACGGGCTTTCTAGAGGAAGGACAAGTAAGGGCTTGCTCTCTCTATTCAGTGCTAACTCATTACCTGCATTCCAAAGATATGTTGAGTGTCTTTTTTTTTTTTAAAGAATAAAGAACCATGCAAAATGCTAGGGAAATGGTGATGAACAAGCAAGGCCTCATTCCTGTCCTCATGGAGATTGCAGGTGTACTATATCCAGTCAGGTTTTTCCAATCAGCAACCACTGGGGTTGGCCTGCTCCATCTTTGGGCACTAAACTTGCATATGCTGATATGGCCTCTCTTGCCCCAATTATGCCTCTTCATTGTTCAGCTTCTACTCCCACTTCTAAAACCTCAGCTTCTATATATTGATTTGTTCAAATTCCAAGAGATGAGGAGTAAATCTGATAAACCCTGCTTTTTGCTATGCAAAGTCAGTGGTGTCGGTTCAAGTATAATCAACAATGGCAAGATTTGATTGTAGGTTTCAAAACGTGGGTGACCAAAAGCTGGCCTGTCCTCTGACTCCATATTTCCCAGAGAAGGTTGTGTGGGGCAGACAGACTAATATTAGCATGCCATTATCCTTGGATTGCTCTGACTTGTTCCTGAAATTTGGTCCTTCTTCTTAAGACTTATCAATGATAAAATATCCTTAATGAACACCTTTATTAGGATTCAATATTTTGGGTATATATCTGTGTGATATTTATGTGGCTACTCTGATACTTTAAGCTAATGACATCTGATCAAGCATCTTCTTTTTTTTTTAAATTTTTTATTGTTGGCTGTTCAAAACATTACATAGTTCTTGATATATCATATTTCACAATTTGATTCAAGTGGGTTATGAGCTCCCATTTTTACCCCATATACAGATTGCAGAATCACATCAGTTACACATCCATTGATTTACATATTGCCATACTAGTGTCTGTTGTATTCTGCTGCCTTTCCTATCCTCTACTATCCCCCCTCCCCTCCCCTCCCCTCCCCTCTTCTCTCTCTGCTCCCTCTACTGACATTCGTTTGTCCCCCTTATATTATTTTTCCCCTTCCCCTCACTTCCTCTTGTATGTACTTTTGTATAACTCTGAGGGTCTCCTTCCATTTCCATGCATTTTCCCTTCTCTCTCCCTTTCCCTCCCACCTCTCATCCCTGTTTAATGTTAATCTTCTTCTCATGCTCTTCGACCCTACTCTGTTCTTAGTTACTCTCCTTATATCAAAGAAGATATTTGGCATTTGTTTTTTAGGAATTGGCTAGCTTCACTTAGCATAATCTGCTCTAATGCCATCCATTTCCCTGTAAATTCTATGATTTTGTCATTTTTTAATGCAGAGTAATACTCCATTGTGTATAAAAAGCATCTTCTTTACATTTTTATTGTAAGTTCTTCATAGTCTATCAGAGGATCAGGTCATACACAGAGGAACAACTTGATCTTATTTGTGAAAGTTTCCTATATGAGCAAGTAAGTTGGGCTTATTTGAGAAACTTCAGGTAGTAGGTTATCAATCCACTGATTTCTTTTGTCAGAATTATTTTTTTCCATGTATGTTCATTATAAAACTAAAAATATTTCCTTGTACATCAATTTTCTTGACCCAATGTTTTGAAACTCTCAGGTTGAAAGAGTTTGTGTCATGGCATATATATATATATATATATATATATATATATATATATATATATATATATATATAATAGTAATCTTAAATTTCCAGAATCAACTTGTTCATGGTTAGAGTCCTTTCAATCTCATGCTAGTCTTCTGCCTTTGACTTCTGAAATTTTTTGAAAAATGCAGCAAATTTTGCAGTTTTTAACCCATCACTTGATACCACATTGCATTAGATCATGAATTCCCTTTTTCAGGAAACCTCATTTGGTTTTGGAAACAATTACTAGAGACTGTTTGTTATTTACCTTCTAGGATTCCTTAAACAACATTCTACTCTAATTTTTAAAACTATGATTAAAGTTTAAAGTCAACCAGTATGTACTGACACCTCTTGTACATACTGTGATAGGCAGTTTTCACATATTTTGGAGTACTTCATTTTACCTTCGTCACTACCTTGTGAAGAAATAATATTCACTGAATTTTAAAAACAAAGACACTGAACCTCAAAAAAATTGAGCAACTTGTTGGAATAGATGAAAACATTTATTGTATTTTGAAATTTAACATTAATTCCCCAGTCCAAGACAAGAATAGACAGCAAATTTTAACGTGCTAGTCACCTTTCCATTGCTGTGTGGAGCAGAAAAACCAATATAAAAGGAGGAAAGATTTATATTGGCTCATGGTTTCTGAAGTTTTAGTCCATGGTTGCTTGGTTCTGTTGCCTTTGGACCTGTGGCAAGGAAGTACCTCATGGCAGAAATGTGTGGTAGAGGAAACACCCACATAGTGGTGGCCAGAAAGTAAAGAGAAAGACAGGAAAGGACCTGGATCTCAATATTGCCTTCAAAGACATACCCCGAATGACTTCATTCCCTTCCACTAGGCTCTACCTCCTAAAGGTTCACACCTCCCATAGCACCCAGGCTGTTGTCTAAGCCTCTAACCCAGGGGCCTAGACATTCCAGATCCAAACATTATCTGTTAATTATTTTTAGTTCAGCCCTCTCCTGGAAGAGACATTGAAAGTAGGAATGAATAAAAGTAGTTTGTCACTGTATACTCACCAGGCTATCACATGGGCCGCTCTGTACTTTTTGCAAGGTAGAGACACAACTGCTCTTTTTTTGCAGCTTTGATAGGTTGAGTATGCATTTTTTTTAAAAGGCCAAACTATAGGAAAAAAGAGAAGTATAATAATAAGAAGAGAATTTTTGATGTGCATTTATTTGGATAACTGAACCTGATTTCAAATATGTTGAATGTAAGTATTGTTAAAAATTAGACTCAGCTGATATAAATTAAAAACCAAAATAACAATGGCTTAAGCAAGTTAGAAGTTTCTTTCTCTATCGCTTACCAGCTGGAGCTTGGGTAGTTCTGGGTGCTGGTAAATGCCTAGCGTCAAGCACCCGAAGTCCTAGTTGTCCCACACCCTTATGTTAATATGTTCCTAGTCTATCTTTTATCTTAAGTCTATGTTTATCTTAAATTGTTAAGATGCATTTTAAAATGTTATTATCCTTTAGTTGTACTAATGTTCCCTTTAGAATAAGTACAATATGCTAGGTGAAATCAATTCAAGGGAGGTTGGGTAGGGAAATGCCTGGGTAAATGTAACCACGTGAACAACTGCACCAGAAGAACTACTGTGTGTAATATGGTAAGGGATTTCTCATAGGGAATAGACATCACATAATTGTGGAAGAAATCAAGGAAGCAAGGTCTAGAACAGGACAGCTAGAGGAAAGGCAAAAACTTACTGATCAGGGCCACAAAGGCTAGTGAAGATGTCCTTGGAAGACTGTTGCCTATGCATCTGATTGCAGCCTAGAGTCTCTGCAGACAGAGGGAAAACAGGATTCAAAGCAGAAGGAAGAAAAAGCATTGTACCTGCTACAACAAACTAGAGTCCATGAGAAGAGACTGCAGTCTGCATCTGTTGTTCCCCACATCAGGTCCCGGGTTTCAGGCCAGCTGCAGAAAAATGGCCACCTTTCTCCAAGAAATCCAACAATGTACCTCCCTGGCCTGGGACTTAGAGAAGATGTAGGAAGAGATCTAGCCACAATCCCTGCTCCCCAACATTGATAAGAGAGCCAGTGATGAGCAACATGGTATGCAGACCGTAATCATGGCTAGAGGCAACCAAAGCAAGTCCAGGGCTGATGTGTCACTTTGGTCCTAAATTGATACAGGATTCTCATCTCAACTCTCATCCAGAACTGCACAGGAAGGGAATTCTGGGAAATGTAGGTCCACCTTAATTGAGGTAACACAGTATAAAACCACCACAATGATAAACTAGGAACTCAAATAGGATAGATATGAAT